TCCGCCTCCTCGCCCCCCGCGCGCCCCTCGACAGCACCGAGAGCGCGGAGCGCGCGGCGCGCGTGGCCGCAAGAGGTCGGCCCCGCTGCTCCGCCGGTCGTCGTCGGGTTGCTAAAGCCCGCCGCCACATCGCTGTATCGGCATCGGCATCCGATACAAAGCTAAAGCCGCAGGTATGAGAAATTTCTTGGCTGCGAGACCACGCGGCGCCGACGCCGCTGTGACGGACGGCGGCGTGGGGAGTCGGCGCGGAGCGTTTTGTTTCACATGACCGCAGCAGCAGAGCAGCAGCATCGGCTGCAGGACGAGCAGGGTCGGGGTAGATGAAGCTCGCAACTCCATTAGGGCTGTCGGAACGTGACCTGGGCGTGGCGGGGCGTGGCGGGGCGGGCCGGAGCGATTGGGTTCCGCGCCTCAGCAGGCCGGGCGGGCGCGAGCAGCGCGAGCGAAATGTGTTTCATCCGTCAGCCGCCCGCCTCACCCCACCCACCCCTTTCAGCCCCTTCCTACCCCGCCCAACCCGTCTACAGAGAAAGGCACGCTGGCTGGCTGGCTCAGATAACTTTACGAAAACATTACAGTATTATATCCTACGAGCAATTTCTTTCAAATACACTGTAAATTGTTCCGGGCGCGGCCAGTTTTTGTAGCGGAGCCTTTACAGTTGCCAATACGGGACGTCTGGAGGTGAAAAATCCTTGCTTTGGGACCTTTAAAGGGCTCTTTGTGCAGTGCGGGGACTTTAAAGGTCCCGCTGGTTCCCCCTTTTTCGTGCCTCTAGAGTGGCCCTAACGCAGTCCTTAAAATATACACTACTTTATAGACAGTCCTCAAGACTGTCGCTACCACAAGGCAAATTTTTCAAAGAAAAGGGAGAAGTCTTGGTTGCCAAAGTGGACCAGGAAATATTGGTTTTTCTGAGACTGCCGTTGTATCCGCAGGAGGAAAATGAACGCGCGCCACTCCCCAAACCAATCTTGGCAGTTATCTGACAAACGCAGACGCGAGGCGCGCGCGGCGCGCAGGCCCTCTTCCTCCGTCTCCTGCCTCACGCGAGGATGAAGTGATTGCAATGCGTCACCCTTTCTGAAATAATCCTCGCGCTCCGTGCGACGGCGGCGCCGGGCTCGTTTGCGCTCCTCGCCGCCCCTCTCCGTCACCCCCGACACAAGGCAAATACGCAGAAAACTGTGTTGTTGTGCCACAGCAGACGACGCGGCGCATGTGGAGAGAAGGGGGTGCGTAGGGAGAGCTAAAGACGGGGGGG